ATGATGGAAATGCTGAACGATGCACCTCTGCTGAAAGATGCACCTAAAGATAATGATGACATGGGGCGTTTATTATTATTATTATCTAACATATGGTAATACTACCACTTTTGATAAAATATATATCTGTGGTAGTACGAGTTTTGATGAAACCAAGACTGGTCCGACATGCTATTAATGTTTATGTATATAAGTATATCTTCACGGATGGATGCATATTTCTAGCGGCAATGACGGTTTTAAATATATTTAGCATAGCTGAGCAGAGATAATATTGCAAAAAATATAGGAACAATTATGTGTTTTCTATAAAGTTTCATTTTCTTTGAGAATCATTAACAGATTTCGTCATACTCTAGCTTGGTACGGAAATATTATAGTGAGTCCATTTCATGTAGTGTGCAAAACTTACATTTTATATTTATCAAAGATGGAATACCTAAGATTTTTATGCCAACAATCAATGTCACTTCTTGGTGATCATGCTTTTTTTATCAGCGGGACGCAAATAACCCGTGCCGGTAAATGTAATAATAACGCGAGTTTTCTGTTTTTCTTTTGAAAAAAGAAGAAGTCACTTACGAGCCACCATTAGCATCAAATATTTCTTTACTACACTTTTTGTTTTTTTTTTTTCTTTCTTTCTTTTATATGACTATAAACAATTGTAATAAATGTATATAAATTATAATATAATTTATAAGTCAATATTGTGTAAAACTGTGTGTTATGTGTTGCGTGCATTCTTTATATGTATTTCTGTTTTCGTCGTCTCTGCATCTCATATAACAAGAAAAACGGCACATAATAAAATTAAAAAATAAATCTGCCGCAAAAAGTTTCGTGTCCATCTTAATAAATGTCTGAAAATATAATAATGGATTTTTTAGCGAAATTGAAAAAAAAAAATACATAAACAAGTTTTAATAAATGTTTTTATTTTTCTATTTTGCTTTAGTTGAATTTTTTTTTATTCCTGCTTAAAACAAAATATCCTTTAAATTTAAAAAAAAAATATCCTTTAAATTTAATTTTTTTTTTTACTGACCACTGAATATTAAGTTTAATCTAGACTTGCCATAAAAATAGGCCTTAACGACTTAGCGCATTTTTAATCAGAATGTGATTCCGAAACGATTTATCAGAAACTAAGCAAAGCTCGCCATAAAAGTAGACCTTACAGATCTAATGAATGACATAAATTTTTGACCAGTGTATGATTGATCAGGGAGTAAGCTAGACTTGTCATAAAACTAGGGCTCAAATACCCACACAAAGGGACTACTCTAGTTTATTATTATGACAAAATGTACCAATCTAGACTTCGAAACAAGTATTAAAACTATGTTTGTGCGTTTATAACTTTGATTTTTCGCTAAGAGCCGTTAGCTAGTTTTTTTCTTTACATGGTTTAATTTTCTCTTAAATAAAGACGCAGAATTATCGTTTGTGAAATAACAACTATACGCTCTGCACAATATAGAATTGCTGGGTATGATACACAAGGAATAATAATTATATAATAATAATATAATAATAATATTAATATAATAATAAAAATATAATAATAATTCGCAACGTATTCAAGCATGCATATATGTGGTTATATGTGGTTAGCAGTCATTTGTAGATGGTATTTTGATCGTAATTCATGCAAGTGTGGTTTTACTTAATTAATATTTTTATCGATATTTTAGTCTAGAAAATTAGTTTATTAGTTTAGAGATTTTTCACTCCTTATGTGTATGTAAAAAAATGAAGTTTGAAAGCACCCGGTGTTGTTTAGATACGATATCACATTTCTGTAACATATCTGTGGGCTAAAGCTAAATGGTCTGTGTCTTTACTAGAAACGGAAAAATATTATAAAAAAGAGAGTTTTACACTGCTTTACCACTTTAACTGCATTTTTGAAGGTCTCTCTGTTTTTACGCGCAAATACGACAGTGGACCCTTGGTTTCTAGTTACCAGCGGGCGTGACTGTACTCATTTGTCCGATTCGCATAAAGCCTTGCTTTTTTTTTTTTTGAATTATGGATAATACTTTCTTTGTCGAAAAGCGAAGCCTTATTAGGGTGGATAGAATTATGACAATGTCAGCGATAGATAACCGATGCAATAAGAGACTATAATGAATGAAATAAAATATTTCATTGTCAATTATATTAAAATAGTTATTAGTTAGTTAGAATAGTAAGAGGAAAACATGATTTTCTCCCAAATCTGTCAAATGACAGCGACTCCGAACACAGATTCGCACTGCCGGATTTAGCCTTTTTTTTTTTTAATAAAAAACACCTTTAGAAAATTATGGGCTTAGATGTTTAACGGCATGCAAGCATCAAAAACACTCCATGACGACCCTTCCAGGAGCTGTTGATTGTTGAACATAATGATAGAGCTAGGTGAAGGCGAACAGAGGATTAGGGCCGATGTTAGTGGATGTAGGTGTGCTTTCATAATCCTCTTTCTCACTTTCCTTCCAACCTTTGTCCAAGGTCCTACTTTTCTATAATAAGAGCTGCAGAAGTGGCGAACTTCGCCGCTCAATCAGTTTGCTCAGTTTTCAATAGAACCGATATGGCTAAGTACTCAAAGCGTTCCTTTATTTAATGTTAACGGTGTTTCCGCTCGAAGTCGAGGGATTCCGGTTAGCTGTGAACACAGACAGACTGCCAGTGACAATAATAATAGTTTTGGGTTTGCTTTTACAAGCAAAGCTCGTAGCTTAAAGGATAGCCATGGCTTGATTAAGCGGAAAGTGATGGGAAACATCTACCAAACCGTATCAAGAGGTAGTAGGTAAGTAGAATAAAATGAAACTTCACTTAAGTTAAATTTCGGTTTTTCTTTTGTTTTTTTGTTTTTTTTGATTTTTATTTATATTTATATTTTTCTCCTTTTAATTTAATAATTCTAACTGAGGGTTAGGGCTCAATGTGCTTCTTACTGTTGCGTCTTTTCATCTTATATCTATGTATATATAATTAATTTCACATTTAATACAAATAAACTAATGCTTGAATATCATCAGCCAGTCGCGTGTATAGAAAAAACATTTTCCTTTTTTGCTTATAAAATTTTTAAACATTATAATTTTTAATAATTAATTATTGAGAAAAAAAAAAAATATGTAAACAAATCAAATCAAATACTTTACTACTTAAGTCGACATCAAAAGACTAAATGAGTATAAAAAGTGGCGAGTTAGTTAGATTAAGAAATTATTGATTAAATGAAAAAAGAAAATCAAAATGTTTGCATTGAAGGGCATTGAACTGCTTTGATTTGATAGACGATACTGTTTGAAAGGTAAAAAAAAAAAAAACACGTCTTCATTAAATATGAGGCAGCGTTTTGTTCCAGCGATCCATTGACCGCTTATTATATAACTTTTAATTTATTCTGTTCATTTTAAAGGGTATTCCAAACTGAACCGACATCTAAATCCGAGGCAAACAGAGGGTCGTTCGTCTTTTATCATGCAATCGCATACGCATTGGAAACTCTGGTATAGAAAGTGTACAAGTGATATAAAGAATCTGGGGAACAATAACTTCAACTTTGCGCTAATATTTTGCTTGCTACAAGATTTGTTATAGTCACGACATTGTTGAACAATTCTTCATTCCCAATCCCAATCCCAGAATCTCAATTGTACGTTTTATCAGTTTGTTTTCGAAAGTAATGGCCAGGGGAATGAGACAATGTTTCTAGGCAAGTCTTGCGAGACAGAAAGTATTTCTTGGCAATTTTTTTTTTTTTTATATATTTGACTTTGTCTCTCTTACGCGAGACGTGTACTTCTCCGCAATGGAGACCATCAAACCTGCTTCGTTCTGATGGTACGACGAGGTAGTAGGGAGTTGTGGCACAATTGCATGGATGCTACGTTGATGACATCTTGAAAAGCATTTTTCTTGGAGAAAGGATAGTGTGCTCCTATGGGATGCCAGAACACATATTACGCGCAAAGGCAAGGGGTTCAGCTGTGTACAGTAAGAGATCAGGAAAAGCTAAACCGATTTGGCGTAAATCGTAAGACGGAAAGTTAAGAAATAGTGGTCAGATGAACCAACGAGGAATTCCTCTCAATAAGTATGGTATGTTTCCCGTCCCACTCCGAGGAGAATCTCCTCTTGGCGCATTTCTATCGTGGTAGCTGTGCTATTAGGTGGGCCTCAACGGCGAAAGGTTGGGTCATACCCATTTCTTTCTTGTAATTTGGTACATCAGGAGTAGTAGGGTCTCTGTAAATGAAGATTGCCTTCGGGCGCCATCAGGTAAAACTGGAAACTGGAATCTGCACTGCATTATGACTCAGTCACTTATTAAAAGTTCCCCAAACCCACATTCGTCGTCATTAAAACAATATCGAGTATTTCAGATAAGGGTCCAATTTGGAACACCCTGTAAATAGCGTAGCGAAAAGTTTATCCAAAAAAGAGGAAAAAAAGAAAAGAAGAGGATAACTGGTAAAAGCCAGTAAAAACCGAACTCTATTCGGTAGGCGTGGCGAAAACAAATTTTCTGTTTTCGAATCAAAACAGTTAGGAGCCGTTTTAAATATCACTTAGAATCTCTACAGGGTTTTTGTTTTTTTTTTTTGTTTTTTTCTTTGCTTCATTAAATATTTTACAATTAAATTTTTTTACGACTTATTCACTAATGAAAAAATAAATAAATTTTCTTCTCTCTCTTATGCTTATGGAATATGTTTACATTTGTTGTTGTTTGTTCATTTTCGATCATTTTTCCTTTTTTCTTTCTCTTTTTCTTTTTCTCTTCATATATATAGAGTTAATGCATTTTTAAAATTATCATTGTTTTCCTTTAAAATGGTTCAATAAATTAAGTTTTCCGCTTTTCTTTAAGTTAAAGCTAAATTCTATAATTATGCAGTTTTTCTTGTTCTTTTTCTTAGCTTTCTTTTTTTTTTTTTGTTTCTTTTTTCGTTAAAATTTCTATTACAAGTTACAAATTTTACAATTATATATTTAAAAAAATGGTTTAAAAAAAAAAAAAAACAAAAATTAAAAAATAAAAATAAACCAAAAAAAAGAAGAAGAAGGAGACATGTGTTTTAGTCACAGACGATAGCGATAGTGGCGATTATTTACAGGTATGCTCTTCGATGGTTCTCACGCAAAGTTCACATTTCACCTGACAACACCAATGAAATTTACAATTGCAACGTTCTCTTACAACAATACTTTTCGTATTATAGCCCCGTCCACAACATAGAATACCGCAACCGTCCAGGCCATTCGAGGTTTTATTACAAATGCGTCCATGAGTTCCTGGAATCACAATTTCCTCGAATTAGTAATGAAAGTTAAAGGGAATGAAAAAAAAAAAACAAAAAACATTATTACCCGGCCATTGTAATTGTCGACTACTGCGACACCAATCTGGACTTTCATCTAAATAAACCAGATCATGAGCGGTTGGCACTTTGAACTGCGCGTCCTTCACTTGCAAACGTCCGCGTTTATTGAGTTTCACTTCTGTAGACTCTTCATATTTTTCTCGCAAGTAATCACCTATCATGTGTGTGTGTGTGTGTGTGTGTGCGTGTGTTAAGTAAGTTTACAAGAAAAAAAACAAGAGAAAAACATAATTAGAAAGAGAAGCCTTATCAAAGACTCGAACCTATAAAAGTTAAGTTGGTCCGTTAGATAATTTGGTCCGTTAGATAGTTTGGTCCCGTTAACATTTAAGTTGTTAAGTTGGGCTTTTAACCATTTATTTATTATAAGCGACTCTGTGCTTTGCCTTTTAACAGGGAATTTATTGATTTAGCGAGGGCGTTGATTAATTTGATAATAAAAATTGTGGCAGTCTAATTTTAGGCTAACTTGTAAAATAAAAGAAATTAAGAAATTTTATAATCGCGAATATTGCGCTGTTCATGTGGATAACCTTTTTCAAACATAGAAGTGTGCCTAAAGAATTTTCAAATTCAACTTTTACTGCTGCTAGTTCACAAAAGCGGTTTCCACATAGGTTTAGCATACGAATAAATTTCAATTGCAATTTACTCATTTTCGCTAAGGTATGCGATGGAATTGAAATTGAAATTGCTAAGGTGACAGCAAGAAATAATTTAATCTTTTTTTATCCCTTTCTACTCTAAGCTCGTCAAGTTTTGTTTTTATCAATAAAATTAACGCTTCTTACCCATTAGTAATAAATTTTTTGTTATAAATGATTTTTTAGCTATAAACGTTTTACTTGCTTATACCCATCAACCGCGCAGAAAGAAACATTCGAAATCCCACAAAGTATATATATATTCTTGATTAGCATCAAATTCTATATCGAGCTAAGCATGCCCGTCTGTCCCTCTGCCCGTCTGTGTCCTGAACGCAAAAATGAAGCTACCCACTTCAAATTTGAATTGCAGATTGGTGTTGAAAATGGGTCAAATCAGTCGAAGGACACGCCCATAGCACCACATAAATTCAGAACTTCTTCGTTTTTCAAAAGAAATGAAAAATTGGTTTTTTGTTCATTACTCGTAAACTACAGCGTTGAAAGCATATTCTTTGGGGCGATGCTGCCCAATCTGAGCACAAAAATGGAAAAATTGACCATGCCTACCCAATATTATAGTGAGTCATAATATAATTATTTTTTCAATAAACGCCTTAACGTGTGAAAATTCTTGGCCGGTTACAACCCTTAAATGTACTTAAGCATGTCCGTCTGTTCGTCTATCAATCTATCTGTTTGCGTAACTTTGCAATATCAGCCTAAGTATATCGTCTAAATAATTGAAAAAGAATTTGGAATTGATCTAAACTTTTCAAAGGACACGCCCACATGTCTCTATGACAAAAGCTTTTATTTTGTAAATAGAAGAAATCAACTGCGCCCGCTCCATATTATAGCGGATGAGAATTTTGTTCTTTTGCTTCTTTTGCCTTTTTTCGGGTAAACGGTGGTGGGTATAAAAGATTCGGTCCCGACCGAATTGAATTTTCTTACTTGTTTCTTTTGTTACTTCAAAGGATTTTTTTTATTTTCGCTTGCAGACATAGGCAAAATTTGAGAAAAATACACTGCCTCATACTGTTGAGTGTAACGGATCATTTTTGAAAAGAAAAAAAGTTCCAACTGTATGTCCGTAATCTTTCACGTTCTCACTTCGCGAGCATGTTTAAAAGTTTTAGGTCTATAAGAGCCTTGAAGACTTAAGTCCACTGTAACCTTCACGAAATAGAGAATGGGTGCGCTTTAGCTCATTGGAGAGGGAACGCAAGCATAGGTTTCTAGACTGCTAAGAAGATATGTACCATAAATAGGATGCACAGACTTTTTACGATGATGTCCATATCAAATGTTTTTCTTCAGATCAAGAAGTCGCTCGCAAAGCAAGCCTATAGTCATTCCCATCATTTCCATTAGATTGTGTACGGCCACAATCATCATAAAACCCTACAAAAGTACGTTCCGCAAACGTTTCAACAGAACAAACTGATCTCATTTCATTCCTAGACGGAGGGTATGAAAATAGTAGATACATGTTTGCAATAGGCATGGCTCTATTAAAGGTGACAACCACGACACATCCCTATGTGTTATGGTATCAGAGAGTAGAACTTTTCTTCACCATACTATGACAATCTTTTACGTTTGGTAATAACTGAAGATGAGAGAGGGGTACGTTCATTTCGGCAAAACGTTTGAAACACCCAGAAGGAAGTTTCAGAGATCGCGTCAACCATACAAATTCGAAATCAATTCAGATATGTTCGTCCGTCCGTCCATCTGTCCGTCGATATATGTATCAAATAAAAGGAGCTGGAGAGAGAGAGAGAGATACAGACGGAAAATACTTTGTAAAGTACAACAGACACATGATATAAATTTCCCCATTTGTTCTGGAAATGAGGAAAATATCAATCGCGTCCATATTATAGAGTGTGGAAATTTAGCTTTTTTTCTTCTTTTAATGGTGATGGGTATAAAAGATTTTTTGATTAATTTTTTTTTTTTTTTTGTATTTTATTATTTATTTGAAATTATTTTCGGCTTTTATGGGTACCAAGCACATAATCGAACTTTTTTCACTTTCTTAACGTTAAGCACTTAAGAGGTTAAGCTTAGAAAACATTTGTTGCTTTCAGTTTAGTACGAAAATCACAAACTTACCGATCTCTCTTAAAGATGATAACTGTTGCCAACACGTAATTAAACTGCAAGAGCCGGAAACGCCATGACATTTACACGTTATTCGGGTCTTTTTGATGACAGCCTTAAAAGCAGAGAAAGAAAATGTAGAAAAAATCAATTTATGGTAATGGGTTCATTTCGCGCCATTAAACTCTCTTCGTTACTCTTAAGTAAATTAAAAAGGGGTAGGAAAGCAATAACCGTACTCGAAAGATGGATTCTGTCACTGGAAGGCTGTTTGGTAATTGAGCCTTCGCTAGCGATCGGCGCTCTAATCGCATAGCCGACAAGATGCTGGCCGCGATCAACAGATCGCCGTTCGTGGGTTAAAATCTCAATGCGGTTTGAACATATTTTCTAATAGCTAAAATGTGCACTCGTGCAATAAAGGCACACATCCATTAAGCTTCGTTCACCCCCGTATATCTTTCTCTTCCTCTTTGTCCATCTTTTGCCTATTTCTTTCTGACCATAACCGTAATACCCTGACAGTTCATTACATTGATGTTAAAAAAGAAAGAAGTTATGTATCTACCTTAAAGAAGACGCCGCTCGTTTGGAAATTAGGGGAAAAACGTTGAAAGAATTATGACTTGTTTGCATAATTGAATAAAACTTAGGAAGAAGTTGACAAGCAGAAGACAAGTCAAGCAGAGCGAACTGATGACAAGCAACACATTGTTCCCTCATCAGCCTGTTTTCGTATTCGATCAACAAGAATTGTAGCGAAGTGGAAGCAGCTTTGTTCGATTCTCATAAATTAATTTCATCGTCAGAAAGAGCACGTTGTTCATAAGGCACATCGCTATACAAACTATCAGTTATGTTTGTCCTATGCGCACGCAACGTAATAAATTAATAATTTGCGCTTGGTTTTAAATTAATTATAAGTTGTCTCTTTCTCACATGCAAGCTATAGCTGTTCTTTTACTATGCATACATATGCTTTATTGTTCATTCGTTTTTCAACCGTCAGCCACGATGCGGTCGTTTTAGCAAACAAAATGTTATCGTTCATTACACTTGCAAATAAAATCAATCAAAACTTTACGCAATCTACAAATTCATCTTTTATTTTTGCTTTCGACTCTACGATGCAATTGTAATTCTCGATTCGTTTCGCTTTTAATAGCAAAAAAAGTCAGCGTCATACACAAGCAGATGTCATCTGTAATTTTTGTTCTCCTACCCTCTCACACTTTTGTTTTTCGTTCGGGACCCCTCACAAAAACCTAAATGGTATCAGCAATTTATTCTCAATATCGGAATCGTTGAAGAATTTCAAAGCAGTGCGCTTTAATACCAGCGGTCAGGCTCTGTCGTGTTTTTAATTAAGCTCAGTAGCAAGCGTAAAACATTGTTTTTTTTGTAAACTGGTCCAGCTGTGTTTACTATTATCGGTTGTTCTAAGCGATTGCTTAGAAGCTAAACCTTTTAGGTGAGGATTTTTATTTTAAGAATTGTAGCCTTAAGTATTTATGTAATTGCGACTGCGAGGTTTTATAGCAAATAAACTTTTCAGCTCGAAATTGTTATTATAAATATTTAAGGCAGCCCTTTACGTATTCTACAAAGTCAAGTATAAGTTGTGCCCTTGAAAATTTTGTCTGCACTATAATGTAATCATCATTGGTTGCAATTTCTGTATCCAATTTGAATTAAATGAATAAATAAATAAATAAATCTATTCTTAGTTTTCAGTTCTCGTTTCGACAAGTCATTGCGTATTTGGAGAGAAAGAAAAAACGTTCCTTGCTGTCTAATGTTAGCATCTATTTAAGAATTAAATTTAATCTGTTTTTGTTATTTGGTCTGAAGTTTTCTGCAATTTAATGAAAACAAAATGAAAAAAAAAAACAAAAGATTTGAAAAGTCAGTAACAAACATAAATCATTTCGTAGACGAATTTGCGAAAATCACGTAATGTCAGCATATTTTGCACATAAGAAACGAAAATTATGATAAAGTTAAGAAGGCGAAAGGGAAGAGGGGGAGAAAAGTTTTTTGCATTATTATGCCATCATCAAATAAAAAGTCAATGCATAAGACAGACGAAGGGACAGACATTGAAACAAACAAACAAATAAATGCAATTTATTTAAAAAAATGCGAAGCAAACCAGCAGAGACTGACAATATTGCACTTCATATACTCGCACGCGTGCATCCACACAATATATGAGTAATATTAGCTAAATGTTTGTCATCGTGTATACGCACACATATATAATATATATATAAATTTTTTTTTTTTTTATGCTAAAGGAAATGGCGGGCCAAGAAAACGGACGAACAAACCAACCAGCAACTAATACCGACTACACATAAAACAATTCGTGCGAAAGGGAGAGGGTGGGAGCAGAATGAAAGCAGAGAATAAAAATATGCGTTTCTCTGCAGAAATGTCAACGTTCGGCAAAATCCTTGGAAAATTTATGACATTTTCATATTACCAGCACAAACAACGGCGGCATGTACGTATTTATGTGTGAAGTAATACTTATGATATGCTCAACCAAAAGAGAAAACCATGAAAATATATTTTTCCAGGCTAGAAGCTCGAGGGGCTGCCCCAGCAATAAGAAAAAACGCAAAAAAAAGGAACAGAAAGAAAAAAACAATAGAATAACGAGCACATATGAATTTCTTCTGACACAAAATAATTCACCAGTCAAAGTGAATTGAAACAAATAAAAAAATAAAAAATAAAAACCGTAGCGAATTTAAAGAATTTAGTTTTCCGATAAAAAAAAAAAAAAAAAAAAAAACGGAAAACCACACACAGCACTAGAAAGCTTCTTTTGTCAGGAGAACAACAGAATTTTCCAAAACGCACTCTCGAATACATTTTCAACGCTCGAATACTATGGCAAGAAAATCTATATTAGAAAAACTATATTCGTTTTAAGGCGAATTTCGGATACGCTTCACCACGCCTCAATATATGATAACCGGTCAGTTCCGTGATAGCTACCACTTGGACTTAAGAATCTTTAAATTACTTGAATTGATTCCAGTACATCGTCTCACTAGGTCGTCTTGACTGAAATGAACGCTTGAATAGAAGTAAAGTATCGTCAAACCAGTTTTACTTATCGTTTCTTTACAAAATATAGGTAAAGTACCCACGAACAACGTCCACTTTCTCCTTTCGTTAGAAAACAAAAGTACGATATCTTCAAAACAGTTTTAGAAAACAGACGTAAAGTACCCACGAACTACTTTCACTTTCTCCTTCCGATAGAAAAACAAAGTAAGATATCTTCGGACCAGTTTTAGAGAACAGAGAACTACACGAACTATTTCCACTTCTATTTTCGTTAGAAAAAAAAGTTTTGCTTATCGTTTACTCAACTCTTTAGCCACAAAAAGCTCATGTAAACGAATATCGCTACAGCATAAACGCATACCGCCTACCCGAGTAGCTAAAAGTCGTGAGTAGTCGGTCTTTGCGAGTCCAAATTTCAGTGATACGCCCATACCATACATAGCTGGTCATGGGCATAGAGTAAGTACTCAGGCGTTACATTTACCGATCCGACACGCACCCACTAAATTCTATCCACACTCTATCTCTTTTCCTTCTTCTCTTCCTTATTTCTTTTTAACCCTTGCCATGATCCAGGGACATCCCCTAAGCAATTGATCATATATATATATATATATAAAAAAAGAAAGAATAAAACGAACTTGATACCAAGTTTAAGTTTCTCGCTCCAAGATAACAGTGTTGTGTAAAACTTTCTATAAAAGTTAACATTTCCGTTGCATTAATAAATTTTCCTTTAAAGTTAAATCCAAGTAACACAGAAACTTCTTCTACTGAGTATTTTACTACACATCGTACATACAGAGGTAATACTCTACGACTTGGCGAGGAAAGATAGTAAAATCATCCAGCCAATAATAAAATTCCAGATCAATGTCTGTCATACAATGTGCGGACGAAAGTCGTTCTTCGTTTCGGTCCCATAACGATGCGAGCATAAAGATAGGGAGGTAGACTCTCCCTTCAATTGGTTGGCGTGCGTATGAGATCGCAGAAGACTGGCAATGCCAACGAGAGGTGCACAGGGAAGTGATGGTCATCGATAATCAGGGAGTTTCTTCCTTGCACAGCAGCTTTATTTAAGGACTTCGAGTCGACGCAAACAATGCTATAAATAGATTCTGGCTGGCTCAAGATCCGCCTGAGTGGCCGAGTAGGCTAAGCGCATCGACTAACAACTCTAGTGGCTTTGGGTTTAAATCTCAAGTGCGGGAGATTTTCCAGTAAAACCGATAGCCCCAGCTGCTAATGATTTAAGCCTTAAGTCTTTGCACTTACATCTCTGGCAAAATTAGTTAGAACCAGAATGCTCAAGCTAGCGTGGGATATAAAATTTATGACGGTAACCAAGCAAACGTATAGGAATGAAAGATTGATAAGATGGAAAATCTAAAACTTAGTAACAAGTGCAACGAATTCCTATTTGTATAATGCTGAACGGAAGTACTAAAAAAAAAAAGAATTTGGTTCTGAAGGGTCTTTCATTAAGAGCGTGAGTTTTTAAAATGATAACTTCCAGTGTCGAATATAGCTTTTAGTGCGCTCTTGGGTGTGAAAGTATTCATTACAATTTGCGATTTCAGCCGGCGTAACGACTCAGGACTTTTGAATGCTTAGACACTGTTAAAAAATGTTACCAGAGTGACAAATAAGTTGCGGGTGACCATCGTTTGTTCATCAGAAAATCGGGTCGCCATTATCGTTTGTCTAATCAGACCGCCATAGTCGTGCAAGTTAATACGCACGGATTATTTTCTGTGAAGCTACAGATCTATGCTGGCAAGCTCAAAACTTTGGATGATTTGGAGGTAAGTCCTCCAGGTTGGTTTTGTTCATAATAGATTGCAACTCTGCAATGTCTAAGGTTCGAAATAAATCGCAATTTTTGCACAAACTTTGATACCTTGAGTTGTTTTATTTTATTTTTAATTAAAAAAGCTCTACTCTTGATGGGTCTCACTTGAAACATGAAACAGCCGTAGGTTAATCTCTTGTGATTACAGGTTAGAAAGTATAAGGGTTTGCAGGTAAAAT